GAGACATAGACATCTGGAACCAAATAGAAAACCAAGAGATGAAACTAACATCTTACACACACCTATGCTTTGATAAACCAAACAAGAACATACACTGGGGAAAAGACTCTCTATTCAATAAATGGTGCTGGGGAAACTGGATATCCACATGTAAAAGACTGAAATTGAACCCACACCTTTCTCCACTCACAAAAATTGATTCAAAATGGATAGAAGACATAAATTTAAGGCATGAAAAGATAAAAATCCTCAAGGAAAGCATGGGAAAAGCACTTGAAGATATCAGCCTGGGGAAAGACTTTATGTAGAAAACATCCATGGCCATTGTCACAACAAAAAATATAAATAAATGGGCCTTTATTAGACTTAAAATATTCTGAACAGCTAAGGAGGTAACAACCAAAGTTAATAGGCAACCTACACAATGGGAAAGGATATTTGCATGCTTCTAATGGGACAATAGCTTGATAATGAGGATCTACCAAGAACTCAATTAATCAACATGAAAAAAGCCAACAATTCCTTGTATCGAAGGGGAAGAGAGATAGACTTCTCTAAAGAAGATATACAAAGGGCTGGCAAATATATGAAAAAATGCTCATCATACCTAATTATTAGAGAAATGCAAATTAAAACCACCTGGAGATATCATTTAACTCCAATGAGAATGGCCCACATCACAAAAATCCCACATCACAAAAATCTCAAAAGTGCAGATGCTGGCATGGATATGGAGGGAAAGGAACACTTTTACCCTGCTGGTGGCTCTGCAAACTAACACAACGTTTTTGGAAGGATGTATGGAGAACCCACAAAGAACTCAAACTAGACCTCCCATTTGATCCTACAATCCCATTACTGGGCATCTACCCAGAAGAAAAAAAGTTATTTTACCATAAGGACACCTGCCCTACACTGTTTATTGAAGCTCCATTTACAATCACCAAAATATAGAAACAGTCTAAATGCCCACTAAGCTAGGAATGGATTAACAAGCTGTGGTATATGTATACCATGGAATACTATTCACCCATTAAAAAAGATGGAGACATTATATCTTTTGTATTAATCTGGATGGAAGTGAAACACATTATTCTTAGTAAAGCATGAAAAGATGCAGAAATATGAATCCTATGTATTCAATTCTAATATGAGGACAATTAATGACTTAGTACACAGTGGGGGTGGGGGAAGGTGAGAGTACGGAGAGAGAAGGAAGGGAGGGTGCTGGGGGGGTTCAAGATGTATGGCATACCTTTTGGGGGCAGAACATAATTATAAGAGGGACTTTATCTAACAAATGCAATCCATGTAACCTTGTTCAAAAAATTTAAAAAATTGAAAGAATGGGTTACTCACCCTATAAAATACTATATCATAGGAATCCTTCCATTTTACAAAATTTAAAATGAGAGAGAACTGGAATAAACTAAATTTATTAACTTACCAACTAATGTCACTAGGAAAAATGATAAAAAGATTTCAGAATGGACGAATAATAGATATCCTGTAAGTTTATCATCCGCAGTCCATCCCCACTCTCCAGGTAACTAGGTGTATATTAATGATTCGAGCCTGAACCCACTGAAACCATGGTGAAAAGGACCCTACTTGGTAATCCCGTCCATACCAACAACAGTGATGTGAATGGCATCCCTGCCTGGATACATCACTCACGTGTAAAACCAACCAGCGATGGAGAGTGGATAGTCCAAGGACAACCAGAACATCCCCACAGTCTTACCTTAAAAAAAAGCAGACTATACCCCTGCCCTAGTCACATACCAGGAGCTAACTGGTCTACGCATGGCAGAAGTTTGAGGATGAACAGCAATGGCATGGAACTGATTACTGATACTTTGCTTTGCATTTTTTCACCTTCCTTCTTTAATCTTAGGTGTAAGACATGATGAAGGTTGTGAAAAATAGATCCAAAAGGTAACCCAAACTAGACAAACTCTCAAAACTGTGTTATTTATTTACCCTTATTATGAATGTACAAGAAAGCCTGAAGGTACTTGCATATATAATAACTTGGAATAACAGATATATGTGCCCCTCAGTGGGTCAACTGTTTCCTATAATCCTTCTGAACCACCAGAGCAAACTGAATTTGCTATGTGGTATACTGATATCCATAGAAAGACAATAACTAGAGGTATAACAGAAGGAATATCTAAACAAATAAAAAAATATTAATAATAATTTTGCAATATATATAGACATGTGTCTTTTATATTTTCAATAATAACTGGAAGTTTTCCATGTAGAAATACTATATATTTATGAAGAATTATTTCTATGTATTTCATATTTTGTGTTGTCATGTTAACTTTAATTCTCTAATTATTGATGGTATACAATGGAAATTTGCATATTGAACTTAAAAAAGTAATAGAACAATGGTAAATATGTTTACATGGATGGAGCAGGAAAATATTCTTCTTAGTAAAGTATCTCAGGAATGGAAAAAATATCCAATGTACTCAGTACTATTATGAGACCAATTTATAATCGCTCACACTTTCATATGAAAAATGAATCACAACTATAGCCCAAGATAAAGGAGGGATGGGGAGGGGTTGGTTTAATAGAGGGAGGGTAAATGGTGGGACCATACCTATGGAGTATATTGCAAGGGTACAAGTCAAATCTATCAAGTAGAGAACACAAATATCTTAACACAGTGATTAAGTAAATGAGGTGAAAGTTATATTAATTAGTGGGATTTGTACAAAAAATTTGTACAATTTGTACAAAAAATCAACACCTTGAATCCTACAAAGGCATAAATGTATTCATGATCTATGTATATATGACTTAATAAAAGTAAAAGAAAACTAAAAACTACTCTCTTTGTAAGGACATCTTTCTCTTTGGCCTTCAGGGGGTTGCAGGGTCACATACTGATTTTGTGAAGACTATTTTTGCTTATGTTTATCTGTGGTGTCAGATATCACAAAAAAGTATGCATGGACCTTGTATTTATTTATTTATTCATTTATTTGTTTATTTTGTTCATCAGCTTAAATTAGTGTTTCTGTATTTAATGTGTGATCCAAGACAACTCTTCCCCTTCCAATGTTCAGCAGAGAAGATAAAAACAAGGTTGTACATCCCTGAAACCATTAGAAACTTATAGGATGAAATTGATAACCGCTTAAAGTTTTTATAGCAAATCTCACCTAAACTTAGGTCTCAGTTCTATGCATTGAGACATAAGTGTAATGCCTAGTTTCATGTTTTTGGGAAATGCAAATATAGAGTTGACTAACAACAATTGTCTAGGGAAATGAAGCAAGTAATCAAGAGACTGTTAAATCTTAAGTGGGGGAGAAAAGATATTTTAAAAACTGGTAAATGAAAAATCATATCAATCTGTGTATATAAAAAAAAAAAGTTGGGTAACAGAGTAGAGGATCATGTAGAGAAGTAACTATATTCCTACACAGTTTCCTAATATAAAGTGTCGCAACCCTTTGGAGTGTAGACTTAGAGGAAACTGACTCAAGTAATTTAATATACAGTTGTCGTATTCTACTCATCAATCTTAATTCTAGCATATATATGTATATATATATACACACACACACGTATATACACACACATATATAAATGTGCCTATATATATACATATACACAAAAGAAATGAAAAGATAAGTCCACACAAAACATAGATTTTTGTTTCTAAAAGTGTACTTCATCATAACATAATTAAAACACCCATTGACTAGTATGTAAAGAAAACGTGTTATGTCCAAATAATGGATGAACTTCGAAGGTAATATGCAGTGAATGAATCCAAACACAAAAGGCTACATATTATGTGATTCCATTTATATGAAAAAATGAAGAGAAAGTAAATCTACAGGGGCAAAAAATATATCAGCAATGCTTAGATAGGGCTCAGGTGGATAATCTAATGAGGAGTGATAGCTAAGGAACACTGGGTGATTTATGAGGTGTATTAATTAATTAATTAATTAATTTTTTTTTTTTTAGAAGAAGAGTCTCACTTTATTGCCCTTGGTAGACTGCCATGGCATCACACACCTCACAGCAACCTCCAACTCCTGGGATTAAGAGATTCTCTTGCCTCAGCCTCCCGAGTAGCTGGGACTACAGGCATCTGCCACAACACCTGGCTATTTTATTGGTTGCAGTTTGGCGGGGCCAGGTTTGAACCAACCACCTTTGGTATATGGGGCTGGCTCACTGAGCCACAGGCACTGCCCACGTATTTATTTATTTTTATTTTTGTAATCTTTATTTCTTTTTGAAATATAGGAAATATCTGTAACTATATTAAAAGCAGGGAAATGGACACTTCAAATGTGTTAATGTATGGAAGATAAAATTTATCTTAATAAAATCATTACAAACAAAAATACAAATATAGAGGACAATAAATGAAAGAATATCTTGAGTTGATTATATCCTTAATCCAAGCTGAACCTATGTCTGATGCTTAGTTCCTCCCCTTAGCAAAGGGAAGGATATTTTGACCATTCTGCAGAACAAAGCTCACCAGAGCAGAGAGGATAGAGCATGTATTTGGGACAGGCACACAGTTTGGCAGTTTCACTTTGTTCTAAAATTAGGCCTCTGCTCTGGGTTCACAGGCTCACTACAGCTGTTCATACGTATGGTTTGCCTTCCCTGGCTTTATGTCTCACCAGATAGGCAGCACTGGTGGCTCATAAACCCAGCCCCTCTGACACCCACTCAGGACAATTGTTGCCTTGGCTAAATTGTGACATAAAGGACAATCATCCCTGAAGTTGCCTCAACAGGACCTAGACTGGCAGAAATGAGAAAAGATTAGTGGGTTGATGATGGGGTGCCCTGGTGCCTTGGAGACAACCTGCTAGCTCCACCTGTATGACAGCCTAAGAATTCTGGAATCCTGTGGCCTTCAAACCTCCAAAGGTACCTGTGTCACAAAGTGCCTAAGTGTTCTTTCCTTTAGTTGGTGAGGTTCAGAAAAGCATATAGCAGACATGTTTGATCCACATGTCTTAGATGTTCCAGCTGTTATTTTTGACAATGGTTCGGGATTCTGCAAAGTAGGCATTTGCGGAGAAACTGGACCTCGTAATGTCATCAACTCTGTCGTGGGGCATCCTAAAGTTAGCAATCCTTCAGAAAGAGCCAATGAGAAGAAGTACTCCGTGAGAGAAGTATCCCAGTACAAGAATGAGACATTATATTTGCGTTACCCCATTGAACGTGGACTCATAACAAGATGGGATGACATGGAGAAACTCTTGAAACACCTTTTTGAGTACTGCCTGGGAGTAAAACCCTGTGACCAACCTGTACTGATGACGGAGCCCTCCTTAAACCCAAGGGAGACTCGAGAGAAGCTTGCTGAAATGATGTTTGAGAACTTTAATGTGCCTGCTCTCTACCTGTCCAACCATGCTGTGGCAGCTCTCTATGCCTCTGCCTGTGTCACAGGCATAGTGGTGGATAGTGGACATGGGGTCACCAGCACTGTCCCCATCTTTCAGGGTTGTGCCCTGCCTCATGCGGTCACCAAACTCAATGTGGCAGGGAGGGACATCATGGAGCACCTCGCCGAACTCCTCTCTGATAAAGAGTGCACTTATTCTGGCATTCTCAACAAGACCGTGGTGAATGATATTAAAGAAAGGATGTGCTACATTGCATTAGAGCCAGAGAAAGAGCTATACAAGAAGCCTAAGGAAGTATTTCGAGAATACAGACTTCCAGATGGGAATGTCATCCACCTGGGGCACCCATTATACCAGGCACCAGAGATTCTATTTGCACCTGACCAGCTAGGCATCCAGAGTCCAGGACTCTCAAAAATGGTCACCAGCAGCATTATGAAATGTTCCACTGACATCCAGAAGAACCTTTTTGGAGAGATTGTACTGTGTGGGGGCACCACACTTTTTCCTGGACTGGAGGAAAGGCTCATGAAAGAACTAGAACAGCAAGCTTCCAAAGGAACACCCATTAAGATCATGGCTTCCCAAGATAGACGTTTTTCTGCATGGATTGGTGCATCCATAATGACTTCTGTAAGCTCTTTCAAGCAGATGTGGGTCACTTCTGAAGATTTCAAGGAGTTTGGGGCATCTGTAGTTCAGAGACGATGCTTTTGAAGATCCCTGAGTGCAGGGGATGACTCAAAGTGTCAGACTGCAGGAGTACCATTGGAAAGTTACAGAGTTTCTTGGCCTTCAATGTGATGTTCAATAAAAGGCTTCTGACATTGCATGTTTCAGTTTATTCTTGGGCAGACTCAAATTTCTGACTTGTGTTATCAATATTTAAGTGACTGTACTCATTTCTTCTTCTTCTATGGGCCTCTTAAGTTGTTTTCTCCTTAATCCAGCTTAACTGGGGTAGGTTTCTCAGAATCAATGTGTTAAGTGGTTCTGTCTCCCAGGGCCCAGGAGACAGAATCACCAATGGAAGTCAAAGAAGGGGAAAGAAATTAAGTAGAAACAGGAAGGCTAGGCCATTCCTACAGCTCAATAGCACTTTCACTGGGTTGGCCTTTAGTCAGAACAATCATGTTCTTGCTGTGTTGTTATGTGATCAAAAAGCTAAGTAGAATGGAAAGAAGAGTTGAGCACAAAGATTAATATTTTTTAAGGTTCTTCTAAGAGGGAAGTTCTTCTATGAGGGCGCTTGCTCTCCTTTGGAGCATTAAGAATCAATACCTCTAATTGAAATGATGACATTATAAATTTCAGCCAGAAAGAAATAAAATCATTTATCAAAAAAATTAACATTTAAACATCTTTCCAACTCTCCGTTTACTTCTGTCACACTGCTAGCCTAAATATACCCATGAAAGTTGTCAAACATTATAAATCACTATAAATTAGGTCTTTTAATTTTTATATTTGGTTTAGCAGCAGTTAATCAGGAATTCCAACCAGTACTTATGATGTATGAATGATTTTATATTATATAATTGTTATTATATATTATGATATTATAAATTTATAGTCAAGAGTTTTAAATGTGGAGCAGAGCAAGAGCATTTGGCCCAATGCTGCTCGTACAACTGAGAAAGGGAAGAACACCAAGCTGGCAAGGAGTCATTGGGTGGCAAGCTGTGCCTGGCAAGGTGGCTTGGGTGGCAAGTGGCTGCAAGGAGGCAAGGGGCTGGATGCAGTACATGATCTGGAGCAGCAGAGTTGTGATACACTAGGCAAGTTTTCTGTGAGTGGGAGCGACCAGCCCCTCCAGAAAGGTCTGGGATGGGAGGAAGCTTTTTGAGAGGATACCCTAGAAAAGTGGGCATATCTAAACAGTATATGGTAGCCAGTTGTGAAGGCTGATCAGAACAGATTTGCCACCAGTTTGGTGGCAGTAGAGAAGGCCATATTTGGAAGGTCTTGGCAGCCTGGGGATGACCATCATGGGCCTTTTACAGGGATACAGCCTTCTTAGTTCCACCTATTGGCATCATATGTCAAATCATCACAGGATCAAGGACTCTTGCACCCCACAAGAACTGTTGTCTGGGGGCAGCACCTGTGGCTCAGTGAGTAGGGCACCAGCCCCATATATTGAGGGTGGTGGGTTTAAACCCAGCCTCGCCAAACTGCAACAAAAAAATAGCTGGGCATTGTGGCAGGTGCCTGTAGTCCCAAATGCTCAGGAGGCTGAGGGAAGAGATCACCTAAGCCCAGAAGTTGGAGGTTGCTGTGAGCTGTGATGCCATAGCACTCTACTGAAGGCGATAAAGTGAAATTCTGTGAAGAAGAAGAA